GGCTCAGGGATTTGTATAGAGTAGTCCGGAATATAAAACTATGGGCGCTTCCTAATTACACTTGGCAGTTTTTCTTTGTTTTTATGGAGGTGATAACTGTGCATTTGTTTTGGCACGCGACAGACAATATTGTGAAAACAGGAAATCAACAATGGCAAAAGAGTTTCGCTAAATTAACATTTCGCTATTACGTCATTTTTCCACAATTCGCGAAAATTGCATGTCGCTTTTTCAACATGTTTTACAATATGTTAAGTATATGTAGACAATAATATACAAGTAGTCTAATTGAATAAATTATCCTAATCTTCCCTTACAAATAACTTCCTATTCTCCGTTTCCAGTTACGAGTCGTTAGTTAGAAAAAATATCTTTGTTTTTTAGTGTTGGCTCTTTGGAACAAAATGATCGCCACCCTGATTCACATGCTTATGTTAGGTGTATTGCGATTGAGATTGAATAATTGTAGCAATTTCTCCTCAATAAATGCATTTCACTCAAACTGTACTTTATCAGCTTGGTTAATATTAGAGTTTTGAGTTTGGATGTCCCGTTATTTATTGAAATTGTCAGTTAGAAGGGTATTACTATTGACATAGTAACCTCACCTTTGTGATGATATTACTACATGCTGTTGTTTTACAGTCGAAGTGCCACTGGTAATATTCTGGACAATTTACTACAACGCATGGAACAATATGCAAATAATCTGGAAAGCTTAGTGGAGGAGAGAACCGAAGCCTTCTACGAAGAGAAAAGAAGAGCGGAAGAGTTATTGTATCAAGTCTTGCCAAAGTAGGTTTATTCGAATAACAATGCAATCAAATAATACCGGAACAGGCGTTTAAATCACTTAATAAAGAAATGAAGTGACACTGGCATTTAACTAAATCTTTTCCAGACCTGTTGCAGAGAAATTGAAGCGAGGGGAAGCAGTACAAGCTGAATCCTTCGACAGTGTAACTATATTCTTCAGTGATATTGTTGGCTTCACCGCTCTTTCTGCGTCAAGCACTCCTATGGAGGTATGTCTGTGTAGATGTAGATTTTTCAATAGACCACACAATTATTAGCAAAATTTGTTCGTGTCATGCAGGCGCATTACTCATATAGTTATCCTTTAATTTTCAAAAACATGTTCTACTGTAAACATAAATTGATATGCAAAATTATTATCCGTAGTATACGTGGTGATCGTATTTGTGTTCTTTCAGTGTTCATGATATACTCACAGGAACAATTAGCGTTATTTATTTGTAGTCATAAAAGAAATCGGGGTCGGTAGTAGTTATCCAAGCGCTGTAAGCTGGGGACGCTCGGGGGTAACATATAGGTTGGCAACCCAAGGTGTGAAATCAACACAGTGTAGTTAATTATATTACGCTATGACACCTTATTAATAATGTATTTTACAATTTAACCTTACGTATTTAAAAATCGTCGTAATGTAGTAACCGTTTCCCCTTGGAATAAGTTACATCTCCGGCATAACCACGATCATAATTAAAAATGAAAGGGAAACAAAATTAAATGACATACATACAATTACAGTATAGACTTCAACCGATCGATTTGTACTGTGTCGTTAGCCGTTGGGGTTATCTCCACGACTCGCAGAGTATTCTAACAAAGCTTATTCGATTTTTCCCCCAAATTAGCCTTCTCAACATCCAGGTGACTTAGGATTCGATAATTTCAATTTCAGAATACTACCCAAATACAAATAGTTTAACATATAGATGTTTTGGCACTGTAATCTGTTTTTCTATCTTCTCCGTAAAAATACGGTGTGCTGCCTTACGCTATGTTAGTCATCAAACTGTCTCAATATACGTTAACATCTTCTGTTCCATTTGTGCGAATCGAGTTATTGACCGTGTATTGCAGTATTTTCTTTTGACGAAATAAATCAAAAATCGACAACGCGGTTGGGAAAAAACGAACGTAATTGTAAATCTAGCAATTGAAATAAGTATATTTTTCTGGAGTATTCAATAATGGTGAGCGCTGTGATTATCACTGAACATATTTTAGACATAGTGATATTGAAGCGTACATTCCGTATTAAATGAAACCGGACACTGCCAGGAATGCTGTTCATATGCAAATGTTATCTTGGTTGTTTCATTCCAGGTCATCGCTTTACTAAATGACCTTTACACGTGTTTTGATGCAATTATTGATAATTTCCACGTTTACAAGGTATGATGTGTTTACGTACTGTTTTAGAAAAATCATATTCAACACCATCTTCTCCACGTAGGTGGATACTCGCACTATTACTGCTAGTATTAAGTAACCACAATTGATTCATGCACTGAAGAACATTCTAACACCTTAAATGGGACGGTAGTCGTTCGCGCCACGCATGCGCGAGATAATATGGGTCTCATATAAACAAAGATGGCGACTTGGACTGTTGCGCAGATCAACGAGTACAAACTGAGACGTTACGAAACTTTAATTAAGAATTTTTAGGTGGTTGGAAAACATGGAAGAAGTGACCGGTGGTAAGTCATGCAAGTCGCACCCAGGTAAAATCTCATACTTGTGATTTCCATTAAAAGAGCGCATTTGGATTGTGGGGAAATCAATGTTTATCAACACAAATGTCGCACATGCGCAGCGCGATGACTGCCGCGCTTTAACCCAGCACGCCGTAATGTACTTGCGATTTAGCCTAATAAACTCAAATGACGTCATGTCTTGGTTAACACCACGATTCGCTCTCGTTACAGGTGGAAACCATCGGCGATGCGTACATGGTGGTGTCGGGTCTACCCATTCGTAACGGCGACTATCACGCCAGAGAGATCGGTAGAATGGCGCTAGCTTTACTCGATGCTGTTGATACTTTCAAAATAAGACACAAACCAGGCGAGCAATTAAAACTGCGGATCGGAATACACTCAGGTAAGTAATTAAACTGGTCAAAGATTTATTTTCTTTATATGATGTAATTTAGAAATTTGATAAGAAATTGAATCAACATCTCTACCTGTATTTACAGGTATGGTATGCGCTGGTGTTGTAGGTCTTAAGATGCCCCGATACTGTCTTTTTGGTGACACGGTGAATACAGCTTCAAGAATGGAGTCCAATGGATTACGTAAGTCGTATTTATTGCCATATAAAATAAGGGTACTTTCTAGATAATCACTACAACACTCGTGCATCGTGGTGAGCTCCTGAAAGGCGCCATCAATCTATATATTGTTGAATCACTCACATAATATTTCCAACAAACACCGTTGATGGCAGTATATGAATAATAGTTGCCGAACGTACAACGAGGCGCGACCCGGACTACAAAATAGGAATCCCCGACACAGATTTTCATACTTTTAATAGTGGCTAGCTGTATATCCATTCATTCTACATGTATATAAACCTCGGGTTTAATCCAGCATCATATTCATTTTTACAAAATCTTTCTAGCTCGGAAAATCCATCTCAGCAAAGAAACCAACAAGATACTTGAGTCTTTTGGAACATTCCACCTTGAATGCAGGGGTGAAGTCGAGATGAAAGTGAGTGAGTTATGCTGATATCGTGCCTCTATCTTTATGTTAGGCGGCACTGACACATTTACATATGAACCGGTCTACAGAAATGTCTCGCTGTTTTATTCACTCGGGACTATATAACTATTCCAAGAAAAGATCGTGAAGGTGACATTTACGTTTTTAAAATGTAACTTAAATGTCATCTTTGAATCGCATAATTTACCCTAAAGGGCGGTGTCTATTGATACCAGAATGGTCATTGCAACACACCTTTGCAATCAACATTTTTCGTTTGAAAACGGTAGCCTAAGAACGACATTACATAGGTAATGACCCTTTTCGGATTGCCGTGGAGTATACATATATACTTAGATTGGATAATAACTGCGTTGTATGTTTTAATTCAGGGCAAAGGTAAACAGTTGACATACTGGTTAGTTGGTGAAGATCCTCCAAAGCAGAAATATATATCAAAGGCTAATGGGCCTTTATCGCCAATTTCTACCAAGAATAACAGAAACATTGTATATGCTTAATTATATTGTCGCGATAAGACGGTATGTCTGTTTAGCCGATGTAATGAAAAGATCTGGGATATGGGTAAAGAGTTGTATTTACAAAACAAAGATACATTTAACTGCAATGTCTTATTGTTCCGCTGCGGACAATACGATGACTGTATATTGTCAAACTACGCTGTTCTCAAAGCCGGGAGTGCTAAGTGGGTTATTGAGACTGTTGCGCATTTATATACCACATGCTACAAGAATCGGTAAATAAATGTATCGAATGTTCTATGTGAGGACCCTGAGATAAATTTACAGTGCGGAACATCACAATTATTTATTTATGTAAAAAGTGTGTGTTTATAAGTTAGGCAACACAATATATTATGGTATACTTATTTCAAAGTACTGCACTCACGCACATGTATCATGCGGTTGCGTTTGAACAAAGCAGAGCGAGTAAGATTTGTGTAGACAAAATACAATGTAAAACGTGTTATCTGTAAATTTAACCATATATATGTACATATAAAATTTGAACATTTTCACTTGCGATCGCTACAAATCGGACAACGTGTCGTCATAGATAGTAACATAGTTACCGCCACACATTGTCGGCCTAGATTACAGTATTGCGTTCGTGGGAATGGCATTGCCTTTAACAGACAATCATTCATTTTCAGTTATGTATTCTTATTTGTTCAAATCAAATATCGCATCGCTTTGTTCGGGCATTTATTATGTAATAAACACCCACATCTACCGCGTGTACATAAAATGAGGGGCATATATTGGAATGTATGCGTTTATAATACGGAACTATTTTTTTTCTAGCTCTCAGTATTTATTACAGTTTCTGTTTAGTTCACATTTAATGTCAAACGCCTGATGTGAAAAAATTGACAGCTAGCTGAAGGTGCAATCACATTAAATGCCTGCCGAATCCTATTTTGAGCGCCAATGAATCACCGTGATGCTAGGAAGTGTATCGTGTGATGTGACGTTTATTCCGATATAAAACAAATAAAAGATTAATAAACTACAATGTAATTTTTCACATTGTCTTTTCATATTTTTGTTATCCGTGTGGTCAATGCGATATGGTGATATAATCGCAAAATTATTCCTAGTTCACAATCCGTGACCAATCGCGGCCACCGTATAATGATCGAGAATAATCGATATTACCAGAGGTACATAACTTGGGTGTTGCAACGCGCATAGTACTATATGGTGACATCTTGCCAAGATCTCATTCAAGTCTCATCTCGTAGATAGCGAGACTGATGCTGCGACCTTCTGAAATGACATAGGCGGTTTGTGATAAAACAGTAAAACATGTATTACCACATTCATAGTGAAAACAAATGTAATACATCGAAAATGTACAGAACATATATTTATCGTAATCCGTCATATCGTGAGTAGCTATTTTGATCCACCTGGACATCCCAGTATCTTAGTTACCTCGGGCATGCGCATTCACATTTTTCTGAGTTGGAACGCTTATGCGAGAGCGAGATTGAAACGGGATCTTGGTACCATGTCACCGTAGTTGAGAACCTCAAGTAATGTACCTCTGATATTACATATTGCATAACACAGACTTTACCACTTTGAGTGTTCTGGTGCTCACGACGATACGCACCAATTTACCAGTTTAACATTCTGGCTTTTAAAACGCAACACTTATTTTTCTATTCAGTTTTCACAACGTTAACAAACGTGTTAGTTAACTGTGCACTTCGGGTCTTGATTTGCGTATAATTACTATC